CTTAAACTGTTTTTAAGCTGAATTTCAACTTGTTCTTTATCTCTCTCTCTCTCTCTTAGGTCAGCTCTCATTTTATAATGCAAGCTCAAAGGCATTGTTACACACCTTCAGAACAAAGTTTACCCAACCATTGCTACCAGGCTTCATGGTCAGTAACTAGAAAAATCTTACAGTTTCTAGAACTGAATTCAGTTTTAATTGTTTTTTTAAAGAAGGAAACTGCAAGCACCTGGATTGGCTGACTTGTAATTTTTAAAAGCGTTTAACTGTTCTCTTTTGAATTTTTTGTGGTGCTTATAGTGGCACCCCATCAGGATTCTGCACCTGGATGTCTCAGCTAAATAAACAGAAGCAATTAAATCTGTGGCTAGGAAATTAATAGCACATTGCAGTGGCTGATGAGCCTACTGCAGTAATTGATCCGAACTGATGGAGTCCAGGATGCTCTGAGCCACCAAAGCAGGTGTCATGGGACAGAATAGCACCCGATGCTTTCCAGTGGGAAAGAAAGTTTCCACCTTCCAAATATTTAAAAGCTCAGTGGGATTTTCTTGCCAGTCAGTTAAGTGCCCTGCATAACCTTTTTTGTCACTCTAAGATTATTGGCAACAACTTTCTGCAGTGTAAAATCCTCAAAACACACAGGAGAAAGATTAGTTACTATTAGCTTTCCTGTAATGATTTAAGTAATTAGTTTAGCTAATTTGGGCAGCCTCAGCTGTGTTGTAAGATGCCATCAAGTGCATCACACTTTGGGAGCAGGATGTGCAGACCTGGGATTTTAAAAGGTCTAGATTTTTTTCATGGCTGTTTATTTGCCTCGCTGATCTTTTTACCACAGGGGGGAAAGAGCAGCTTCAAAACTACTGGGATACATGTGTTAGCCATTCCCTAGCATAGCAAAGGCTGACTCGTAAATTCAGTAAATTCAGTTCCCAAGTCATCTGGAGAAACAGTTGCTTGCCAACATTCGGGCTGTCCCTCTGCACCTCACACAGCCAGCCCCTCACAGAGTGACAACAGCCTTACTGACTGAACAGGACGAGTGAAAATGGCAAACTATTTAATTATAGCTCTCAAACTTACTTTTTACAAACATGAAAATACAGCATTCTTTCATGTGAAGAGTAGAAGTCATTGACACCTGTGCCCCTGAAGCTTCTCAATTTTTTTTTTTTTGGTAATATGTTTATGCTGACATAATTTTAGCATGACAAAAATAAGCACTGCTTTGAGGCACTGGAGCATAGTGAGAGAGTTGCTTTTCATTGTCATTCTACTTGCTGCAGGCACATTTGCCTTCAAAAAATTCTTCTAGTTAGGAGGAAGTGATTTGAGTACTAGGTCTTAGTTATAAACTTAGTTATGAAGTTTATAAATATGTGAAGCATCTTAGACTTCATGGACTTAAAATCAGCATATCTGTGATTAGAATGTTTTACAGAGGGCTGTGACAGAAGACATGCAGCTGTGTTTGTGCTAGTTAATTGTGGGATGGGAGGAGAGAGATGTGTTTGGTTCCTAATGCAGATTTTTTCTTTTCCCCCCAGATATGGTTTGGTGGGCTCACAGTGACCACTGGATTGCAGGTGCCAAGTGCTGTGAAAACTCTTCAGAAGAGTGAAAATGGATTGGGTGGTTCAACAAGCAGCCTAAATAATGTTGCCTAGTAATGTCTGTTGAACACTTCTGCTGCTGAATGTTTTGTTTTTCTGTGTAGTTACTACTCACAGAAGCTTGTGAGCATTGGATTTTGCTGGGTTTGCTACCTTCTGCTGTTTAGGGCCTGGGTACTGATAGTGCAAAGGTTTGGGGCTAAAGTGTTAGGAACCAGTGCTGGAATCCAGAAAAAAAATGTCAGAAAACTGAGCTGTTGCCTATTAAATGAAAAAAGGGGAAAAAAAAAAAGAAACCAAGAGCTGTAGCTGTGTACTTTTAAAATACTATATTCAAGCATTTTGTTATGGACTTGAATATTAATTTTGTTACAAATACTATTCTTCTATGAAGAATATAGCAAATACCATTTTTTAGCTCTCCTAATGCAGATTACTCAGCTGTGTATTTAATTATTACTAGGCTTCCCGTTAGAAGTTGTGATTTCCGAGATGCATTTTGAAAACAGACTGATTTGCTGGCCTGGCCTGGCAAAATACCCCAGCAGCATGGTTTCAGAAGGATATTACAAGATTGTGTAGTCCTGGTATGAAGAAACAGTAAGAGCAAGCTGTGATTATTTCCCACAGTGGTATAAAATCTTCCTGTTTTCCATGGGTAACTCCTTTTTAAAACCATGTATATTGGTATTGGCTCCTGTTTGTCACCATTACATTAATTGCATTCTAGTTACATTAGAAATTTATGTGTAGATGTTCCATTGCCTTGACTCCCATTTGGAAGCTAGTAAAGCAGCAGTCAAATGATTCATAGTAATGGGAGAGCTAAAAAATGAGAAAAAAAGATCATGTTATATTCTTTGTGGAAAATCCCAACTTGTCAGTGGGAATTACTAGGTTATTACAGGCTTTTTTAATCTGTTTTTTCCCTCTGATCAAGCTGAGGAGCCTATAAATAGTTTTCAGATACACTCTTGAATCAGGTGTTTCCTAACTGAAGATTGTTTTCTGGTATCACCTGAAAACTGTTATAAATTCATGGTCCATAATGATGTGGCTCATTTCCTGCTGGGCCAGTATATTTTCCTTTTGTGTATCCTTTAGCCCATAAAACCATGAATATCTAATTGTGTTAAGCCTCAGTATTACCAATGACTCTTTTCTGTCCATCACAATTTCTCAGGAGAAATTCCTTGAGACACCTTCTAATAAACTGTCTCTGATGTTCAGTGAAAATTTAAAATTAACAATGAAATGTTACCTGTTCTGGAAAGTGTTATTTTTCTTGAGGAATCCTGAAGCTGACAGCTTGGCTGAGCCCTAAATGTTCATTTTGTATCTGAAACTCGAGCATCTCTTAATTATTTGCATTGTGAACTTGTAATCACTTTTTGCAGAGGAAAGTAACAAACCAGTTCCCAGTTTTAGTGTAACTTCTTCTGTTGCTTGGGCTTTGGGACAAAGATACTCAAAAGAGACGATGTTTTTGGTCAGCAGTGTTTGAATCTGCTTCACACATTATCTGCAGATGGTACTGTTATGCAAATACCTTGTGTATAACCTTTTTTCTTTCCATTTTACTGCAGTGGACACCTGACCAGGAGTTCTTGGGGATAAATTGCTACAAACTCAGTTTTGCAGCCAGTTCTAGTCTGGGGCTGTGGTGCACAGACACCAGGGCGGACTGGCACCTCCGGGTCACCACTCATCCACTTGTCCTTGATCTTGGGTGTTCAGCTGCAGTTCCTCTTCAAATTTCCCTTTGTGGAAAGAAAGGGGATGTTTACAACCAACTAATGTGCTGTGAGAACCATGAGTATTTTCCAGCCCTCTATAAGAACATTTAAATTATGAAGTTTCTTTTTTTTTTTTTTTTTTTTGTTTCTTTTTTTTTTCCCTTTTTAGCAAGTTGTAGTGTAACCTGCAAGGTGAATTTGGTATGCACTGATGTAAAAATGTAATTTTTCATTTAACAGTTAGTTAGAGGAAAGCTTGGGAGTGTTTCATACTGTGACTTGTGACTTGCAAGTTTTGGTTTAACTGGTGTCCTAGGTGAACCTTACCATGTGACTTTTTACCCTTAAAAGGATGGATTTGTTATTAGTTTGCACAGATGTCAAATTTTTGCTGCTAACATGTAGTCCAACTGTTTTTAGTAAATGGGGATATGAAGAATTGCCTTAAGCACTTTAGATGTTTTTTTTTTAGACTGTTTTTTCTGAACTAGTGTTTCTCCAGCGCCCATCATCATAGGAAGATGAGCAAATCCACATTGCTCCCAGTGATGCTTTTTGTTGCAGTTGGTGCAGGGTTTGTGTCTGCAGCTGGACTGGGATGCCTGCAGCCTTCAGAGTTACCTTTTCCTTTGTGAATCCACTTTCAGGGATTTGGAAAGGGGTGGCTCTTTGTCAGTGGATCAGATTTTTTGAAGGTCTGTAGTTCAATCCACCAGGCTTATTTACTCTGAAGCCAATACTGCATGGTGGCAAAACAGGAGTTTTCTGCTCTGTGACCAAAAGGAGATGCTAATTTTTTTTTTCCTTTTAAAGTACTGACTGCCAGTATTCTGAAGTTACTTTAACTCCGAAAGCCTGACTTCTGAGGAACTGAAGGTTTCCCTTGAGGTATTGATACATCAGATGAGCGTAGCTGTCATTGTCCTGTGGAAAACTTAAGAACTGTGTTAACTGCAGATAGGGATGTCAGTGTCAGACAGGATAATTTTAAAAAAATAAAACAAAAAAGTACACCAAAAGAAAAAAAAAATTAAAAAACACCAACAAACCATCCCGGGGATATAAATGCTTCTGCAAATACCAAACAGGCAGAGCAGAGGTGACAGGTTAATTTCTTAGAAATGCAGGAAAAGCAGTCTAGTGTACAAATCCCGTTTCCTCACATCTCCCACGTTTCAGATGGAGACCGGTGGAGCCACTTGGGCGTGTCTTGGGCTTGTCCGTGTTTTTATTTTGGGGGGCGCGGGGTGTTGGATGGACGCTGCCCGTGACTTGTGTTGATGTCGTGCTCCAGCGTGGCTGTTTTTGGGTGTCCCGTGGCAGGGCCAGCCTGGCCGTGGGTTTCCTTCGGAGCAATTCCCGATGATCCCGGTGATCCCGAGCATCCCTGGGCCGAACCGCGGGGTCCCTGCCCGGAGGGGAGTGGGAAGTGGGGGGGGTGCCGTTCGCGTGTGACGCGATGTTTTGTACTAATACAGAAATCTGCAACCCTGTGCGTGTCTCTCGCTGTGTCGTTTTACCGCCGCCGCGTTTTGGGGCGATTTGGGGCGTTTTGGGGGGTTCGTGGTGGGTGAGAGACCCCCGTGGGGGGGGGGGGGGGGGGGGGGGGGGGAAGGTGTGTTACGACAGCAGGAGGTTGTTTTACGACGGCGGGCGGCGCTTTGCGGCCGCGCTTGGCGGCCTGAAGCCGCATCGCGGTGAGGGCAGCCGGGCAGCGGCTCCCGGTGCGCCCCGGCGCTGATGCAGAAAATCAACAGGAACGTGGTCCTGGCGCTGCTGTCGCTGACCAGCCTGGTTTTCCTGCTCTTCCAGCTGTGCTATTACAAGTTCTACCTGTCGCAGAAGGTGAGGGAGGGCCCGCGGCGCCTGGCCGCGTTTCCCTGCGGGCGCTGTGAGGGGAATCCCGGGGCGGGCGGGGGGCCCGGGCCGGTGTCCGGTGTCGGGGGTACAGTCGGGCTTGGCTTCCCAGCCTGGCATCCAAGCCACTGTGTCAGCCAGGGCCATCGATTTGTCCCGAAGGGATTGATGCCCCCGCCAGCTTCCAGCTGCCACGGCTTTTAACCCTCAGCTCTCGTTGCTCGGTGGCTTTTATTGCACCGAGCTCTGTCAGGGCTCTGCTGGAGGGAGGCAGCACCTGCTGGCTGCAGGTTTTCCAACACCCAGAGAAATCCCAACTTTTTCTGCGGTCGTCTTAAGGGTTTTGTGACTCCGTGCTCCTAAAGTGCTGGGTGTCACAGTTTAAATCCTGCTTTTAAACCTGGAATGCTGTTTGTACCTCATTTTTTACCTGACCCCGAACGTCCAGGTGAGTGATTTTCTGCAACAGCAAAAGAAACGAATGTTACTGTAAATTAAATCCTCTGGTGGTTCTTAGTTTACAGTTGCAACTCTGATTCAACAAAGGAACTCCCTTTATTTTTATGGAAGAACCGTGCAGGTTTCAAAGTGCCTTGAGTTGTTTTTTGGCTTTTCTTTCCTTATTAAGGCAGTGTCAGTGACAGCTGGTCACTGCAACCTTCAACTTCTTTCTCACCGTTTCTGATTTTTAAACAACTGAGAAGTTCTTCAGGCTTTTGAAAAGCCAAAAGCTGAGCCACGAGCTGCCTCGACCCTCTCACGTGAAAATGCAATCCTTAAAATTGAATTGTCTAGGATTACACTTGGAAAGACTGAGGCACAATCCCGCTGTTCTGCCCCTGTGGTATTTGCCTGACAGGGTTTGTCATCCTCCTGTTTTACGTTTGCTGGCACATTGGCTTGGAAACCTGAGGCCTCACCACTCAATGCTGCATGTTTGGAGGTCCCTGAGGCTTGAGTTGTCCTTCTAAATATATTTAAGCCACAACAGTTGTTTATGATTTCACATTCAGCACTGTAGCTGTGTGACCAGAGGCATAACCCCAGCCATAACCATAAAGTGGATAAATGCCCCTGAATGTCATGTTAAGAAAACAAGGATTCAACTGAAACTTTGGGGTTTTTCAGCTTCTTTCTCTTATCCCTTTCCCTTTTTTTTTTTTTAATAGAATGGAGCAGCTTTTTCCAAAGTCAGAGGAAGCCAGTCAGGCCAAGACAGCACTAGATGGGTATGTACAGTGTCACTGGTTCATACAGCTCTTCCACAAATCTCAGAACTGACTTGGAACTTCAAATTCAGGGTCCAGATCTCTTCGCTGGGTGCTTTCTGCTTTGAAGGATGAAGAGATTCACTTTGTAACTTTGTTCAGTAAAGAGAATATCGAAACACCAGTGTAAAGTAAAACTGAGAAACAGTTACAGCTTGACAGCCTTTGCTGATGCAGTGTTCAGATGTTTTGTTAATGTTTCGGGAAGAAACACTTTCTGAGGCAGAAGTGTTGATCCAGGGTTTTGTGTCCTTTCAGGCTGGGTGTTGAACAAATTGTCTGGTCTGCCATGCAGCTTCTGAGAAGGTGCAGGGTCACACAGTCCTCCTCTGCCCACTCCAGTTGTTCAACCTGCTTGTGCTGGGTTGTAAAGCTCAGGAAAATGTCACATTTCAGCATTCACCAGCTGCTGCATTCCAGCCCTCAAGACCAGTGCTGGGAGTGCTGTTAGGTGCTTGAAATGGGATATTTGTTGTGTCTTGCTTCAGGCTTGCAAGCTTGAATGCAACCAAAACCACCCACCCTGGGGAGCCAGAAGGTCCCCTATCATATTTGTAGTTAGGATTTGTTTGGAAACAGTTTTACAGAAGACTTTTTGTTAGCAGATCTCCCAGTGGAAAAACAGCACAGATGGTTAAGGAGAAGGATGTGCTGGGAGCTGGCTGCCTTTCGGTTTGGATGCAACAAGATAATGTTGCTAATTAGCAGAATGGCCATTTATAGGCCTGGTTTCTGCTGAGCAAGAGGGAAGGTGCTCTGGCTAGGAGCTGTCCCTGGAAAAAATCCAGACCAACTGCTCTGTGGACTGCTTGCTTGTGCCAGGAATGCCATTCTATTCTTGGAGGTGACATCCCTTGGAGCTGCCTACCAGGTGTGAGGTGTCACAGTCACAGGGGCTTCCAGTCTGTGGGCAGAGCTCTCCTAAAGGTTTAATTTGCTCTTCTGAGATCATTAGTGATAAAGGATGTGCCATGATCCTGCCACCTACTGCATGTCAGGCTTTTCTTAGAGTCCCTGCACTGATGTGTCCAGAATACTAAATTTGAACACATTTCTTTTGGTGACTTAACACCAAAGCCATGTTTTTCTACCATTATTTATGTTTTTTTTTTAACTTTTTTAAGTTTGAGCTGAAAGCATCTGTTTTCCTGGAGAAGTGATGGGGTGGGGAAGGGGAAGTAGGTACTTTTGCACAGATTTTTTCCTGTTCATCATTCTGGTGTGCCAGTTTTAGTCACAGAAGCAATAGGAGCATGTCACTCACCTTTCAGCTTCATGTAGCTGAAATCACTATGAGGGTGGCCTTGCTTCTGCCTGTACCATACAGGTAATGCTGCTGCCAAAACTCTGTTGTTGACCCACATCCTGACCTCATGTTTTCACATCTCTCTGAAGTTACAGCTTTAAAATCATTGGATGAAAATGTTACAGTTGAATGCATGTAAGTGGCAGGGTGACTTGTGGCTGGTGTAAGTGGTTTCTGTGTGCCATGGACATCTAAATGTGCTTGATTAATATTCTCCTCTGAATCAAATTAATAGCCCTTTGCATTAGGCACAGAACATTCTTGCTGCAGCTTTTTACTCCTTATGCAATGTTGAGTGCCCTGGGTAGAGCAGAATCCAAATTCTTGGATCTTGCATCCTGCCTTCTCACTCAGCCTCACAACTATTTGTGGAAGTGAAGTGTACACTCAGAGGAGGTATTGGGAGATAATATTTCCTTCTTTCAGTGGGTTGGGGTTTCTTTCTGTCAAAGAGTTTTAACGCAAAGATGGTCTTTCTGTCCTCTGTCAAACAGCACGTGGTTAGGAAGTTCCTAGGATTAATATCCAGTCACAATATTCCAGTGTATTTGATTGATCCTTTGATTCTGGGACTGGTTGATAAAGACATTGAGCAGATCAGAAGCTCTCCAGATGGCCCCAGCCCAGAATGCAAATACTTCTGTGCTCCAAGAGACTTCACTACCTTTGCACTACTAGACAAAACATGGAAACATGATGTAAGTGCATGTTTTCTGTTCACATTTCTGTATTTTAATGCATTCAGCTGCTCTTTGATATTGTCACTTAATGCTTTTATGTTTGTATCTGAATTCATGTGGTGCTAATAGTTAGGCAGAGGAAACTTTGAAAGTTAAAGTTGCCCATTTACTAGCCTGGATACATTAGGAGTTATTTATATCTGAAACTTTTTGAAAGCTGTCTGTAATATTAAAAAATAACCACTGGTAGTCAGAAAGGAAAGAAAGGTCAGCTAGAAAGGAAGGAGGAGAACCTTGATCCTGTAATGTAGGTGTATCTTTTATAAATCTGGAGTCTGGGGACTCATCAAGCAGGAAATGCAGTTATGGATGTGACAAGTCTTGAAATATTATCGGAGTCTGCTGGTTTACATTTCTTTTAGCACATCCTTGTAATTAATACCATTTCATCTAATATATTGGTGATACTTAATGGTATTGCATCTTCTCTGTGGTGTTAGGACATTTTTTAATGGCTGTGTTAAAAATAGAAGTGTAGCGTGTGAGGAAGGACAAATTTAAATTCAGTATTATTTCATCAATTACGCGTAATCTGGAAATATTTATTAGATTAATTTTTACAGACTAAGGATACCAGTGACAAACAGCTTTTTTCTTCTTTTTCTTTTTTTTTTAGATTTTCTCTCTTTTTTTCTCATTAGAAAAAGCAGAAGACTGAAATGATCAGTGACTATTTCACTGAAGAACTTGAGTGAAAGGGGTGTGACTCTGGGCCCGATCAGGCAGCTGTTTAACCCATAGGTGTGAAGGAATTCAAGAAACTAAAAGTAAAGTTGTATGGGAGCACACTGAGATAAATCCATTTTTCCATTGCTTAGTGTCTCAGTGATATTTTTTGTATCATTTAGAGGAGAAGCTGATATGCTTATACAAAACTTATATATATTTCAAGGGGGGAAATCAAAGCATCTTCAGATGCTGATTGGTTTGTTTTTTTTTTTTAATCAACCAGAATTTAATTCCCTTTGTTCGTAGAACTATGAGAGCCTGAGTGCAGTGCTCAGTGTTTGGTGAGATTTTTATTTGCCCCACAAAAGAAGGTTTTGGACTAACCATTTTTGTGTTTGTGACATTGTTATTCAAGGACTTAAGAACACCAAATTTGGCAGAGGAACAGTTTTATAGAATAGTTTGAAAGTGCAGGGTAGTGTGCTGTGGCAAGGAACAAAACTTATCCAAGCATGGCTTACAACATTTATTTGTTGTTTTATTTTGTAGTTTGAAGGACAAAATTTAAGACAAGAAAAGAAGGTGGTTGGAATTGCTTGCAACTGCTTGTCTTCAAGCTCTTAGAGACTTTGATTCATTTGTGGCTAAGCCTGATTAAAAAATGAAAATGAGGAATGGTGTGAGTTAGTAATAAGCATTTAGCTTTCAGTTTTGGTTTCTCTAATCTTTAGCCTGCTCTGCCTCCTGTCTTCCTCATTTTCAGGTGGGCCTTTTTAGAACTGCTGAGAAGATGGGGTTCCAGTGGCTAAAGATTATAAACAAGGACCCCCGCTTGGATGGGATGGATGACCTGTCTGGGATGGAAATTCCCTTGCACTACATATTCAAGCTGGCATCCCATGCCATTCACCTGGTGGTCTTCTATGAGAGGAGTGGCAACTTCCTCTGGCACGGACCCCTGAGGCTCAAGCAACACATGGACAGAAAGTTTGTGCCCTTCCGGAAGCTCCACTTTGGTCGCTATCCTGGGGCATATGAAAAGTGAGTTCACAACAAGGGAAGGAGAAAGCCATCATAGCACTCCCAAAATTACTTCCTCTGTGTGTAAAACTACTCTCTTCCCTGTAGTCAGGTTCTAAAATTCAGCTCAGGTATAAGTCAGACCCCAAAGTGCAGGCTTTGAGAACATTGTCTCTTAGAAAATGAGAAAAATATCAAGACATTTCACACATCAAAATAAATATGTTTAACTTTTTCTGTTAATTTGACCCTGTTCTTTCATCCTTTTAAAACATGGAATCTGTATGAGTTATGTGCCTAAATCTTCAAAGTAGTTTTTAATTTTTAAAAGCAAATAGCCTCAAAGTACAGAGTAAAATTTGATTCTGAAGTGCATCCTGTACTTAGACAACCAAATAGCCTGAATTTTAAGATGCACTGAACAACATCTTTGAACAAATTCAAGTAATGAGTCAGTAAAGGAATCAGTGATCTGACAAAATGGCTTGGGGTTTGGAGGTGTAGGAATTCTTTTTAAACAAAGTTTTGAAATGCATGGGGAATTTGGTGAAGCTCTTGTTGCTTTTTTAATTTATAATTGGTTTTTGGCTGTATTTGGACTGAGGGATCACTGCCAGTAGTGTGCATTAAGATTATAACCTGCAGTAAAGGATAAATGTCATGTGGTTTGTAATGGAATTAAATTGGGTAATATATTACCTTTCTTTCCATGCAGGCCAGAACTTCTGCTTGTTTCCATTGATGACTTAAAAGTTCAAATTCCAAAAAATCCATCCAGTTTTCTAGAGGAGATGTCCCACTCTAGATTTCTTGAATGTAGGTACAGAGAAGCTCGGGCTTTCTTTCAGGTTAGTGGTAACTGGGTGGCATCTCTGAGATGAAATGTGTGTTTTCACTGATTGACCCAAACCTAAGAATGGTACACCGGGGATTTTTTGACCTAAATGGGACTGTTCACATGCACAAAGCTAAATACACCCCCTGATTCTCATTCCACAGATCTTACTAAGTGGTAATGAAATCAAGACCTTATCTGAAGATCATCGCCGTTTTTGTTTTTTCACTTGCAGCACATTTTTGTCCAAGAGGGAACCCAAAATATCCATAGTTCTTACACACCCTTACTGTTAAATTGTTCTTATGTAAATAAAACAATCTTATTTTATTAGATACACAAATAAAACTTGTGTATCTTCATGGCTGAAAACTTTCCTTATGGAAATGCTCACAGTTTTGAGAAGTGTTTAATTTTACATTTTTTGAACCATGTCGTGTAGTTCAATGTTCCTTATTTGGCTTATCTGAAATGGTCACATTTCGAAGTGACTGATTTAATTTCTTTTCTGACTGTGTAAGCTAATGTTTTCACCACTATTCAGAGCATTATTTTTAGAATTTTGCTACTTGATTTAGCAGATAGAAATGTCTTCACTGCAGTGTTGGGGTCATTTTGTTATAACTTGGAAAGGACATGAGTTATAAAGTGATCAAGGGCTCACAGTTAAGACTGAAGAGTCAGAGTCAGGCCACTGAATCTGAGACATCTCTGACTTTATGGATGGGGGAAAACTGGCAGTGGAGGCTCTAATCTTCAGTCATTCAGGTGTTAGGGAAAGGGAGGACCACTCCTGTTCACTCTAGTAGGCTGTAGATCCTTATTTAGGTAGCAGGGGGGTCACAAGGGCACCCATATGTTGTCCCTTCACATGTGGAAGACAGAAAAATATAATCCACTTCAGCCTCCGGGCAGGAATAACCACAGGCAGAGAAAATGTGCCCCTGTATGTTTATTGAACTTTGCTGGAGCTTTAGCACTGAGACAAGCAGCTGGCACCCCTTTTGAAAACTTCATTTTGGCTGCTTGTTGCCCAAGAGCTCTTGAAGAAATCCGTCACAAAGCGGAGTGTTCCTTTGTTAGAACTCGTAACGTTTGCCCAGCCTCTCGTGTCGGGTTTGGCTTTGCATGGACGGCAGACCTTGCCACAGTTCTGTCTGGAGGATTTTTGTGTTCACATTGTTTCTCCTTGGCCGTTCTTGAAACTCAACAGCCAACTCTGACACTTGGTGGCGCCAAATAAATTAATCATGGGGTTCTGGAGGCTGGAAAAGCCTTGATGTGCTGGCAGGGACTCATTCTGTCCCTGTGTTCTCCCTGGACTCCAGAAATTGACTTCAGCATGTCCAGAACAAGGGCTCACCCGTGTTGCTGCCAAGTGCTGAGAATCAGTGTCTAATACATACTTTCTTATTCTGGTCTGCGGTGAATTTTCATTCTGGTGGTTAGGGAAAAAAGAAGGTTGATGATTCAGAGTTTTAATTTCCACTTGTCATTCCAGTGCATGTTCTGAAAATGGTTTGTGTATGAGAAAACAGATGTTAGCCCAGGTATTAGTTAAGTAAATTTTTTAAGGTCATTTTTTTCCTAGGACACTGAAAAAATGAAGGGACAAGTTTGTTCTCTGACTGTAACTTGCATATTCTTGCCTTCCAGCTGTACCCTGATGATGCCTCTGTTGATGCAGTGGAATTCAGGAAAAAGGCAAAATCCTTGCTTCATCTGGCTGCCCTGACACTGAATAACTTGGGAGTGAAGTTCTGGCTGAGCAGTGGAACATGTCTTGGTAAAAATTTATGTTGTATTGCATTTTTAAATTCACCTGAAACTTTAAACACTTCATTCTTCATTGCTTGTTATATCAGCAGGGACCAAAAGTACTGGGTTGGAAGGTAATAACTATTGCAATACACCTTTTTGCTCCTGAAAAAGTGCTTTTTCTTTAGAAACCTGAGCTGCTGAGATGCTGGGCAAATTTCCAGTGAAGCATTTAGTGTTGTTAGGAATTACCTGTGTTGTGTTCATCCCTGCTAGGAAAAAAATTAACAGTTCCCTAATATGTGTGACTTGGAATTTACTGAAGTGCCAGTTGGAAAATGCAGTGATGAGCACATTGTTCTGCTGTCCAAGTACACTCTAACCCTGTTTTTCTTCCCATGCAATTAGATGCATGTCACTGACTTCTAAAATACAGTTTACATTAATTTATTTTCTTTCAAAATGAGCTTTTTATAAAATTACAGTCCACTAAATTAGGTAATGCAAGTTTTCAGTTCTGCTGAAGGTACAAGTATCTTATCACTGGTAAGGGATTCTCTTGTTCCTGAAACACTTAGTGAAGACTCATGTGTTCACATTTGCCTTGTATTTATTTAATCCTAGGGAATATAATTTTCTGAATGAACAGTTACTAAAAGATGCCTTAATAAAACAGGCAGAAGGATGTCCTACTTTGTGTCTTTCTGCTTTGCAGTGGTGATTGAAAGATGATTAACATCTTAGATGCAGTATAAAACAATAGTTGCAAATCAGAAGCACAGCTGTGGCCCTGTAGCTGTTAACTGCTGATTAGATTTGGTCCTACATAAAGAATTTTAGGTTTTTTTAAATATATAAATGCATTTAAATTAGGAAACTGAAGGCAGAGTATCTTAGTTTTCTCTTGCATTCTTGGCTTTCTGAAGGGAGAGAGATGACTATAAGTCATCCTGTGATACTTGTTTCCTTTGATGTGGTTCATCCCATACTGAAAAAAGGCAGAAGCCTTGTTTATGGCCTCAAAAGTCAAAGACTTTTGCCTGGTGATCTTAGAATAGTTCATTTATGTGTTGCTTTATTTCTGTTGAATTCATGTTCCTGAATTTAACTAGTTTGTGATTTTTCTGCTTTTTTTTTTTTTTTTTTTTTTCCCTCAGGCTGGTATAGGCAGTGCAATGTCATTCCTCACAGCAAAGATGTGGATTTGGGAATCTTTATAAGGGACTACAAAGCAGATATCATTCCAGCCTTTCAGAAAGCAGGGTTGCCACTGAAGCACAAATTTGGCAAGGTACATAGAAAATGAACATTTTACTTCATGCGTGTGTTTCTGTAGATTTGTAACCTTGACTTCAGTTGCAGAAGTGTTTAATAAAGTTTAAAAATAATGCATAGTTACTGTGTTTTCTTCAGTTAGAAGTCACCCCATATATCTGATGAAAATCAATTTGTTTTCTGCTGACATAAGTTTCTTTGTATTTTTATGTGTATACACAGTGTGTATTTTTGTGTTTCAGGTGGAAGACAGCTTGGAACTCTCTTTTCAGGGAGAAGATGATGTGAAACTTGACATTTTTTTCTTCTATGAAGAGGATGACCACATATGGAATGGAGGAACTCAGGCCAAATCGGGCAAGAAATTTAAGTAAGAACTGGATTTGTACCACTAGTAGGATAGGAATTGAACAAGCTAGTGTTTACTGATGGCATTTTGTGTGCTGTTGCCTGGTAAAGCCTGTGCTCTTTGTGGAAATGTGGATGTCAGAGGGGAATCAGTAGAGATTCTGCACTCTGAGACCAGTGAAGCAGAGAGAGAACAGTCCTGTGCCTTACTAGAGAGTAAATGTCAGATCTCTTGTGAAATCAAAAGCAGGGCTGGCATGTCGTATATGAAGCAGATCTTATCTGACTGTGACAGGCCCCCAGTTACATAAACACCCAAGATGAGAGAAAGTCTCTGAAACAGTGTTTATTACACAGTCTAAGTTTGTAGTAGAATATTAAACCTTAGGCATCTGGATTGATGAAGAAATAATTTTGGCAACTCTCCTTGCACAGAAAAGCCCACAGTTTGGGATTTTGAGGTAGCAATTTGGAATACTGAGTTGTGACAGCAACACAGACAATTCTTGCAGGCCTTACTGTTCATGTTCTGAAAATGGAATTTTGAATAGGAAATTTTGAATAGGAAATCCTGTGTTTCTTGTTTCACACCTTTCAGTATTAGATCAGCAATGATTTAATAATTTAATGATTTAATAATTTAATCCAAATCAATTTAGCTAACTGGATATAGGTTTTGATAATTAGATTTATTTCTTTCAATCACATACATTCACTCAGAAGGAGATAGCTGCAGACTAGTTGAAAACCTTGTAGACTTCTATAGGATTTTGTTATCTTTCATATTTTACCTGAAATGTATTTGGTTGTATTTAGCTAATGGGAATTTAGTGAGCACTCATCCAGTTGGAGATAATGTCCAAATCCTTGTCTTAGTTATCTTTGTTCTGAAGTGATAAATAAAGACTGGGAAAGACATTTTGATAATCAGCTTCAAAAGGCACATTTAGAAATAGACAAAAGAAAGACCTCTTGGAATATCCCCAGAGAAAATGTGCTGTATTGCAAAGTAATGTTTTTTAGCATACAGCAGCAGTTACAGTTTTCATGTGTGGTGCATTCTGAAAAGCAAGCTGACCAATAAATTCCTTTCCTCCTCTTTGTGCTGTTGTTGCATTTAAAGTGCAGTGGCTGTTTCCATGCCAATGGAGTTGACACTGCTCCTTCAAAACTCGGATATTCGAGAGATGTTTTTGCCCCGTTTTTTTGATGACCGGTCCAAGACATAAGAATAGGGGATCAGTGTGACCCTGTGCTGCACTCCAGCTTTTGTATCCTTGGATATTACAGCTCCTCTGTAGCTCCATCTTCCACAGAACTCTTTCCTTTTCTTGTAGCCTCATAGTTACTTTTGGTGGTAACTTATTTAAAGTTCCAAACGTAGCTTTCTAGTTCAGTAATAACTCTGCTTAGGTATAGCATCATAAGGAAGCCAAACCTCTAATTCTGAGCTGGTGTTTCTTAGTTCAATACACCCAGAAAACAACCAGGAAAACTGCTTGTTTGCCACCATAAAGGCCCTGAGCCATGTCAGAACTGTAGCATTTAGAATCCTTTGCCAAGTAATTCCAGACGTGTGTTATTTCAAATACATCCTCAAAAAGAGAAAAGAGATCCAGCTTTTGTTACTGTGAGAAGTGAGAGCACTTGGCATTCTTAATCTGACTATGTGCAACAGCAAAATGACCCTCAATTCTGCTTAATCTTCAGCCCTGTCAGAATTTTGGAGTAAGACAAAAGTGAGAAGATCAGTCAGAAGAGAAGTGATTGTTTGCTCATGCTGAATACTAAATCCACTCTAACAATTTTAAAGGAATTATAGTGTCAGAAGAATTGTTGATTGCTACTGGGTCATCAGGAAGGGTAGAAGTTATTTTCTAAGATTAAAACTGAAAGGTAGAAGTTTTCTTCAGAAAGCTAAATATTTGCACAGGCATACTTTCTGTACATCTAAATTAGAGGGTGGAGAACTAGAGCATTTCTCTTTGAGTCCCTAAAATATTTCTCATAGTAATTTTTAGACTCTGTTTCCTTGGAGAGCTGGTTTCTAACCCTCACTGCCTGGCTGTGTGGTTTGCTTTTCCATGTGCACAAACACTTCTTTAGCATTCCTGACACAAGCATGTGTATCCTCCTGATACTGTCTTGGAGTTGCAGCAATTGAGGCTTCTTCTTTGTTTGCAAATTTAATACTGGACAGTTGCAATCTCCAGCAAAGAATGAGTATTTACAAAAACTGAGTCTGGGAATCAAATCCCCACTGTTTGCTTTAATCCTTAAAGTGAACTAATTCTGTAGGTTTTTAACAAAGAGGACTTTGTGTAAGAGTTCAGTTTAATCAGCAGTCTCTGGATATATATCCAAAAAATACTTGATCACTTTGTTCTTTCCCTCCACTTAAGGCATGAACCACAATTGTTTTATTTTCTCATGTTGTTTGCTGAGAGCTTAGAAATGAAATTAACTTCATGCTTGCAAGAAGATGGCAGTTCTAGTTCATCATACAAATGTACAATTTTTTTTTTAAAAGACAAAGTGCTTATGGTTTCATTTTAACTTGTGAAAAGGAATTTTAGGATCTTTTTTTTTTTTTTTTTTTTTGTGTGGAAGTGTACAGAGTTTCAGAAGTGGGAGTGATCCTCTGCAGGAATAGTGGGTACACTTTGGTATTGTTGAACAACTCAATGTCGTTCTGGTCAAGCTGTGAAATTTACCTGTGAGCTGCCACTGCTGTAAGCCTGTACCACCCTCACCTTTCTAAAAGAGGTGACTGTGAAATCCCATTTGCAACAGGCAAAGCAGAGGCAGGGACTAACCTATAGGTGGCAGAATGATGTGAGTGCAAGCAACAAAAGAATTAGGAATGCTCCTTCCTAAGCACATGAAGCAAATGTTCACCAGTTACTGTTGATAACACCCTTGTCTAGCGTGTAAGAGAAAAAAACAGTATAAATGTAACATGGCCACTTGCTGCAGTTGCTTGCTTTCTCCTTCAACTTACTTAGAAGTGCATTCTAGCCTTTTGTCAGTGACCATACCCTTTTGTTCTGGCACAGGTATCTCTTTCCCAAGTTTACTCTGTGCTGGACCGAATTTGTGGAACTCAAGGTACACGTGCCCTGTGAAACCCTGCAGTACGTGGAGGCCAACTACGGCCCGGAGTGGAAGGTGCCTGTGAAGACATGGGACTGGAAGAGCTCACCCTCCAATGTGCAGGACAATGGAGTCTGGCCTATTGATGAGTGGGACAATGTCATCCAAATCTACTGACCCCTGTCTGCTGACAGAGCCTGTCCCAGAACTGTCAGTGTGTGACTTCCCAGTGCCCAAAGGCATTGACATCCGTTTCCTCTGTAATCCCCACGTGTTTCCTAAGGAGACATTTACCTCCCTTTGCTTAACAGGTATTTTCTTCACCTTCATTGTGCTTTTTCCACATGATTAAGGGAGAAGATGAAAAGCAGCTGGAGGGAAGGGAAGCTGAAAGAAAAGCTGCACAAAGGGAGTGGAGAGGACTGCAGTGGACTTTTGGGCAGTTGACTATTTAAATGTAAACGGTGGCCAGGCAGCTTTGACATTCCTGGGATCATGAAAACCTTCAGACTGTTCAATTCTCAAGCTTGAGAGAAGGTGAGGATGGGAAAATCTCAGAGCAGTTCCTTTTTTTTCAAAGGAGATCTTGTGACTGTTTCACTTCAAAACACCAGCGTTATGAGAACCTCAAATGTGCTTGATTTGAGACTGGTACATCCCTACCATGAGCAGCAGGTTGCTCTTGGGAGTGGAATGTTTCTGTGGCACAGAACCTGTGTGACCACCTGCTTTACATCTAGGAGGTATCTGGTAATGGTGTTACACTAAGTGAATGGAAGGAGAAACTATTGACATTGGACGTTTTTCAATTCATCCTTCTTTAAGAATGTGAAGGTTCATGCTGCTGGGATGGCTTCCCCATGAAAAGAAATAAAATTCTGGTTTTGATGTTCCACTCCTTGTGTTCTCCCTGTAAAATATTTTACTGGTTTTTAGCAAATTATTCCTGCTTTCCTGCAAGTAGATAGAAATGGGGGTTATTCATAGTTTTCTATTTCACAGAACAGTGGCTTCTCTTTAAGGGAAAGGAGAAATGTGTACAAATACCAACTGTTCCATCAAATTTGCAGTAGCAATGCTGCCAGTCCTCTCAGTTTCAGTTTCTCCTGCCACTGAAACACTGGAGTAAATTGTTCAGCTTCTGGCAACAACTTGTCAGGCTGGCTCTCCAGTTGGATGGTAACTTTGCTCTGCCTGGTTCAGAAGAGAGAGATGTAAAATCCTGCTAACACCATTCACTTGCTAAAGTAACCATGACATCATAAGGGGTAATTTCTCAGGTAGATTTTTTTTTTGTACCTTTTTCTTTAACTGGAAAAAAAAAAAAGGTGAATGTCCTTGTGGTTTCCATGTGGTTTTCATGTTCATAACTCTGTTGTCCTGAACTTCTTGGTGTAATAACATGCAGTAAGCCTGTGAGTTTCTCAGATGTGATAAATGTTTAAGAGTGAAAGAAAAGATGCTCTCAGAAAATTATAATCTGTCAAATGTTTGACTTTGTAGATGAAAAGACTAATGAAAAAAAAAAATGCATGTCCCTGAAAGGGAGGATGTCTTGAACAGTTGATTATACCTGTAAGGTATTCTTCAGGTTAAAATGTTTTCTCTTCAGCAGATACAAGTGTATATTTAACACTGATTAAAAGGAGAGTCTAATTTGCAACTTGAGATGCTGTTTCATCCTCTGTTTTGTCATCTTGGGCAGCATTTAACACACTTCATTGCAGTTACGATGACAAAATGCATAGAGGAAAATCCTGAAATATTTCTTACACTGCTTATTGACTGCCTGTCTTTTGAATGTTTATTTTTTAATAAAGATAATTGTATACAATAAATATGCTCTGAATAAAGCAGAAGCCCACATGTAGGAGAAAGGATCCTTCAGCTGCACAGAGAGATTGCACACTGCACATCTCCTGTCACTCTCTGTGCAGTGCTCTGACCACAGATTTCCTGTTTGGGTGCAGATTGGGTGCCCAGGTGTGACCATCATGGAACTGCTGCTCTTCCAAGGCCCATCATGAGGCTAAAGCCATGGCATTCCCACAGAAACAGCCAGATTGAGGTGTGCTTCCTCTTGTGCTTTCCTGAATTGCCTCATCTGGAATGGATTCTTAATTCTGTGTTACCTTCTTAACTTACTAATTGCATTCATTTTGGAAGTGCTCTGGAGAGGAGGGTGATTCCTAAATTTTCCTAATGGTCTTAAGCAATCACAGGTGAAGTCCCTTGGCTTCCCTGTAGCAAACAAGGTTTTTCACATTATTTATATGCAGCTGTCAAAGACAGAAAAGTGATCAAAGCTCCAGAATAATGGCAAAGAAAGATTGAATAGCATTGATTGAAGAGAAGGGACCATAAAAGGCAATGTTCAAAAGCCATAAAAGACGGTTACCAGAAAAGGAAGGGATGTGTGTGCTCATTTCTGTGGGTGGTAGGAAATAGAAGTAAATGGGGGGAATGCAAATTGATCCACCTGCATAGAAGCTGGAGTATTTAACATGTGGAAATGTGTAAAACCTGTGACCTCGGGGGTCTCTGAGTACACATCAGGCAAATGCCAGCCAAAGCTGACCTGAATGTAGTTAAGGACTGATTGTACTTAATCCTGTTTTCCCGCTGGAGGGAGTTCCTATTTCCCATGATTCTGTAGTATTCCACAACTTCCAGCTTTTAGAAGGTGGAAATTGGAATAGTTGTTTGTATATGAGCTTAAGAAAAGATCTATTTCTGGAATCAGACGTTATGAGTGATGCTCTCACGGGAAATGAGAGAAAACTGCAGCATCTTAAACACTTGAAAAAAATGTGATGGTTTGCAACAAACGGGTAAACACAGTTCTTCCAAAAAGGGTATGTCTGATCCAAACTGGGGCTGCAGAACAATCATGGGATGGATGATGTACACTTGGCTGCACAGGGCAGGGAGGCTCTGAGGGAGATGCTGACACTTTCGACCTGTCCAGGAGCAATATTCTGACAGAAGGGCCCATGTCTGCTCTACCACACTGCTTTTTTAACCTCAAACACAGAAGATGGGCAAAACTGTGCTGATGCAGGCAGGAGAGGATCCTGGAAGTATGGCTGTCTTTCTCTGCTGTCCAGATGAAAATGGAGCAGCTGATCTTGTTATGCCCTTGCTGTTGAAGCAGAGCCTGGGAGATGCTGGTTGGTGGTATTAAGCAACTTGCATCCTTTGCTGCTTTAGAATTCTCTAGAAGTCTGAAGTCTGTCAGCTCCAGAAAAAAACAGTCTCTGCTTTGCACTGCCCACTGTGGTTGTGTTGAATGAGATGTGTAACAGCACAGACGCCTTCCTTCCAAGGTGACTGCCTGTCACAGTGCCGTGGCTCCCAGGGATATGGTTCTGCCATTTATTGCTCCCCAGCAGAACTCTCTGAGCTCACACAGCAGTTGAGGAAGCTCAGGGGCAGCTGCTTCGCTGCTCAGGCTTGTTTCCTTCCTCTTCACGTGTTTCAGTCGTACTGTGAATTGCAGAACAGAACAAGGGAACTTGAGAAATTATGTGGAAGGACATCAAAGTCTGCTTGGCACTTGTGTTCACTGATCTACAGCAGCTGTTTCGGTAAAGTGACACCAACAGATGATTTACATCAGCTGATAATCTTTGCTTAATAGCATTGTGTTTCCTCAGCTCAGCCATTTCTGTTCCTTCCACTTCAAACCCAGGATAAGCCAAGTGGCTCTCTTTTGACATAAAGCAAATCATTACAGCACCTTTCTCCTATCCACTTCCTGTCAGGAAAGTCAAAACTCTTGACTAAATCAGCTTCCACCAGGAGATACTGTTGAACTGTGTGGCCTCTTTCCTTGAGTTGACACTGGCCCTTCTTTGTCACTGCCATTGTCCCGAGCAGTGTCTCAGGAGCCGGTTGGGGCAGCAGGAGCATCTTCTGTTGAAAAATCTGAGTGTTTGCTCTTTGGGCTCCTGTAATCGTCTCACATTGTCAGCATTCAGGCTTGGTCACCTCTTGGTAACAACCTTTCTCAGCTGCACTGGAAGAGGGATTTCTGAACAAACGTGGAAAGGGAGAGAAGATTAAATAGGGAATAAAGACAGGAGCCAGGCCGGGCTGTTGGGTTTTGGGTTTGTATTTTTTTTTCTTTTTCTTTTTCTTTTTTTTTTTTTTGGTCATTTATTTTAATTAATTATTTTATTTTAGAAAGCCAAGGTACATTTGCGTCATGTGGAAAGGAGTCCCTCTGTGACTGACCAGACATCTGGTGTCATTGCATAAGAAAAATTTTCTTTATTGTCATGGTTTCAGCTGGGACAGGGTTCATGTTCTCAGTAGCTGGTGTGTTGCTGTGATTTTGGATTCAGTGTGAGAATAAATGTTGATAACACGCCTGTGTTTCAGCTGCTGCTATGTCATGTATACCCTAAATCAAGGACGCTTCAGTTTCTCCTGCTGTACCAGTGGGCAGGTGAGCTGAACAATCCAAGGGTTTCAGAGAATATCATGCTCTGGGTATAAACTGGGGGGGAGATGGCTGAGAGGGCTGATCGCTGCTGGGGGGTGGGATGGGTATCAGTTTATGGCTGGTGAGCAAACTGTGCTGTCCACCACTTATTTTTGGAGTTTGCTTTCTCATTATTATTGTTATTGTTAACAGCATTACTAGTATTTTACTTTGTTTTCTGTTACTGAACTGTTCTTATCTCAACCCACGAGTTTTACAGACTTTTTTCCCCCCTTATTCTCCTCCCCATCCCTCTGTGGGGCTGAGAAGCCAGCAGATTTCAGCCCTGTACCCTCCCCAGTTAAGTGATGCAGTGGGTTCTCCTGCATTATTTGGAAGAAAATTAGGGTTTTTTTTCCTTAGAGCATGCCTTCTCCAGGGTCTCAAATCCTCTCTAGTGCCTAACATCCTCAGCAGCAGTGCAATGCAGCCTCCACTGCTCCAAAACAAGGTGTCCTGCACCGTGCTTGTAAAGAAAAGTGCGTTTCTGTGACTCAGTCGCAGCACAGACAGGGAAAAGGCTGACAGGAGGGCTTTTGGCTTGCCTTGGAGGGATTTCTTGGGTAGTGTTGTTTTGTTATGTGATCCTCATCAATACATGTAAGAGAATCAAGTAGGTTGGGAAAGACTTCTGTGTTCATTGAGTCCATCCTGTGACTGATCACTACTCTGTCAGCCAGAACAGAGCACTGAGTACCACCTCCAGCCTTTCCTTAAACACCTCCAGGGACTGACTCCGCAGTCTCCCTGGGCATCCCATTCCAATGTCTTATTGCCTTTCTGTGAAGAAATTCTTCCTAATGTCCTACCTAAACCTCCCCTGGCCCAGCCTGAGGCCGTTCCCTCTCCTCCTGTCCCTGTTTCTGGAGCAGAGCCCGACCCCCCTCGGCTGTCCTCTCCTGTCAGGAGCTGTGCAGAGCCACAAGGTCCCCCCTGAGCCTCCTTTTCTCCAGGCTGAGCCCCTTCCCAGCTCCCTCAGCCTCTGCTGGGGCTCCATTCCCTTCCCCAGGCTGAGCCCCTTCCCAGCTCCCTCAGCCTCTCCTGGGGCTCCATTCCCTTCCCAGCTCCATTCCCTTCTCTGGACTTGTTGGTCTCTCAAGCTGTGAGGGGCCCAGAGCTGTGCTCAGGATCTGAGGTGTGGCCTCAGCAGGGCCAGCACAGGGACAGCCCTGCCCTGCTGCCACCCCCCAGCTGGGCACCCTGGGCTCGTGTCCAGCTGCTGTCACAGCACCCCCAGCCCCTTTTCCAGCCACTTTTCCCCCAGCCTGGAGCTGGGGGGTTGCTGTGACCCGAGGGCAGGACCCAGCACTGCCCCTGGGTGTCCCCCACCCCAGCGGCCTCATCCCATGGATCCAGCCTGTCCAGACCCTCTGCAGAGCCCTCCTGCCCTCCAGCGGATCCCCATCCCAGCCAGCCCAGTGACATCTACAAATTTGTCAATGGTAAACTCAATCCCTGTATCTCCAACATACCTGGAGACACAGGAACATCACCTGTGAAGGAGACTGGGCCCATCTCCATCAAGCACCTTCCACGTGCTGCCTGTAGCCACCTGTGACGACTTTCCTGCACTGCTGATGCCTTTAGCCCCTGGCTGTTTGTTGCAGCCACTTCTCTGGGTTAATGATGCCTCTGAACTGCATTTGGTGTTTGATCAGAAAAGGTGCCCATTCTTTCTTGCGGAGATAAAGCTGTTGCTGAGCTCAGTGTGCTGAGACCATCGTTAGCCTCCTCCTTGCTGGTCTTTTACAGCCACTTTGCTGCAAGCAGCTAATGAAGTCAGCCAATTAATCTGCTGTCCCTCAGCCCTCCAGGGACCTGCCTTTCCCTGCAGCACAGTGGAGGTGTTCTAACCTCTGAGTAAAGGTCCACAATATCTCCTGTGAACAAGACAATGAAAGACCCAGAAATATTGCTACCTGTTCTTTCTTTGACCACCAAATCTTCCCATCCCTCCCAATGTCACTTCTGAAATGCCCTGGCTGTTATCCAGTCCTCATGGATGTCTCATCTGGCAGGCTGGCATGAGGCTGGTGGAAGCCTGGAGATTGGCACTTTGGATTTTGACCAGAGTGCTGAGCAGTCTGCTGCATTGCCCATCTCACTTTTTGAAGCAAGGGAGTTTCATGAGAACTTCCACTGAAGTGATACAAGGCTTTGCCACCATGGCTACATAAGCCCAGATTTCACCTGCAAATGGGCCTGAAAAGGAGGAACCTGTTTGAAATGGTGCTAATGCAACTTTTGTGATGGTCAGCTGGTCATGCTAAGGGTTGGAGTCCTTAAAGGGTGTGAGAGAGTTGTCCTTACCTGTGGCACTTATTGTTGAGTTACTCCACAGCATTAGCAAGG